CTCTGCTATCGTGCGCCGCACGCCATCCCTGCTAACGTGCGCCACTGACATCATTTTCCCTCCTGCTGACATCATCTCTACACAGCCCACCTTTCCTAGCTATTTTCGACCTTCCGGACTCACTGGTACACTCTGTTTTACCTAATTTTGCTCCTACAGGTCTCTCCCTATCTATTTAGCCCCACTCCACTATTATTATGGATCGTTCTGATGCCTCCCATCCCATTTCTGTTATTTTGGATGGTTCCAACTATGTTCTATGGGCCCAAGCCATGTCTTCCTTCCTCAAAGGAAAGAAACTCTGGCGAATTATCACCGGGGACATGACCCAACCGGTCAAAGACACTGCTGAAACCACTGTTTCCCCTGCTACTCCTACATATGAAGATCGCCTTGAGGAATGGGACAGTAAAAATTACCAAATCATTACCTGGTTTCGCAATACTTCTGTTACCTCTATCAGTCTTCAGTTTGGTCGCTTTCAGCTTGACTCTGTCACTACTCCTGCAAAAGACATCTGGGATTTTTTGAAAGAACGATACCAGACTACTGGTCTTGCTCATCAGTACCAACTTTAGAGCCAACTTCATCGGATGCACCAAGAATCTGGTCAGTCTATCAATGACTTCCTTTCTCAAATGTACTTCGTTTGGGACCAGCTTGCTCTTTCCGAACCGACTTGGCCTCACCGAGAAGATGCTGTTTTATTTACTGCTTATCGTAATCAGCAAAGATTGGTGCACTTTCTCATGGCTCTCACTTCATGTTTTGAGCCCGTACGTGCCTCTCTTCTTCATCGCCATCCCTTGCCCACTCTGGAACAAGCTATTTCTGAGTTGCTATCAGAAGAGACTCGTCTTGGTACTCTCCAAACTCATCATGTGGACTCTGTTCTTGCCACTCCCCCATATCGGCCATCATTCCCACAGCGGACCACTGCCTGTCTCTACTGTCAGAATCGGGGCCTTCCTTCTACACATCTCCTGGTCAATTGTCCCGTCAGAACCTGTCGATATTGCAACAAACTTAGTCCTGGCCATCTGCAACAGGATTGTTTTCGCCATCCATCCCGCTCATCCTCCAACAGCCATTTTTCTCGCGGTGGTTCTTCTCAGGGGAGCTTTCATCGTTCCAGGAATCAATCTCATTCTGGGAATCAGCCTCCTCACACCGCCACTGTTGCTGCTGCCGCTGAGGGTTTTTCTGAAAGTCTCCGGCTTTACAGCTACATTACAGGTATACATTGTGGCCTTTACAGGTAGTGAGGTGTATATATATATATTATATGTGTCTTTACAGGTAGTGGGGTGTAGTAGATATTATATGTTGACAGCCCCCCGCAAACTCAAGGAGGGTAGGCATCGACCAAGTTGAGTTTGGAAACAAGATCACGGAAGCGCCCAGGAGGGTAGGCATCCGTCTACCCCTCTCTTTTCTCCAACGGATGTCGAGGCCATGTTCAAACACCTTCTCTCCCCTTCTGGTACACCTCCTCATACTGCTTTGTCTGTAATTCCAGGTAACTCTTCTTGGTATTTTGACTCGGCCTGCTGTAATCATATGACCTCCAGTTCAACTATATTTTCTTCCATCTCTTCATCTCCTCATATTCCCTCAATTCAAACTGCTGATGGTTCTCTCATGACTGTCCGTCATCTTGGTACTGTCTCCACCTCTTCCTTAACTTTACCTCAAGTTTATCATATCTCTGCTCTCACTTTAAACCTTATCTCTATTGGTCAATTATGTGAACTTGGTCTAACTGTCACCTTTTCTGCTACTCATTGTTTGGTGCAGGACCCTCAGACGAGGCAGACTATTGGGATCGGCCGTAAGCACGGACGTCTCTATGAGCTCATTCACCTTCATGTTCCTGCCTCTCTTCAGATCGCTGCTCCTGCATCTGCTTCCTCATTATCTCATTTTCATCTTTGGCATTGTCGCTTAGGACATATTTCTATTACTCGCTTAAAGTCTCTGATTTCTAGTGGATAATTGGGTCATGTAATTCCTGATACTTTCGATTGTATACCCTGTCAACTTGCCAAACAACCTGCTTTATCATTTAATAAAAGTACTTCTGTTTCCAGTGCACCTTTTGATCTTATACATTCGGATATTTGGGGCCCTTCCCCTACCACTACTATGGGGGGATCTCGTTATTTTGTTGTTTTCATTGATGATTTTTCACGGTTTACTTGGATTTTTCTCATGAAAACTCGGTCTGACCTCAAAACCATTTATTATCGATTTGCCCAAATGATCCGCACTCAATTTTCTAAAACCATCAAACTTTTTCGCTCCGACAATGCTATGGAATATCGGGATTCCGATTTCCTTTCTTTTCTTCAGAGTCATGGTACACTGCCTCATCGTTCTTGTGCTAGCACGTCCCAGCAAAATGGCCGTGCTGAACGGAAACATAGGCATAGTCTTGACACTACTCGCGCTCTCCTTCTCTCTTTTTCCTGCCCTGAACACTTTTGGGGGGAAGCTGCCCTCACTGCTGTCTACACTATCAATTGTGCTCCTTCCCCTGTCATCCATAATCAAACTCCCTTTGAACGTCTGCATGGCACCCCTCCTCCCTATGCTAATCTTCGGGTTTTTGGCTCTGCCTGCTTTGTTCTCCTTCAATCTCATGAACGCACCAAGCTTGAACCTCGCTCTCGTCTTTGTTGCTTTCTTGGGTATGGCATTGAACATAAAGGTTTTCGCTGTTGGGACCCTATCTCTAAACGTCGTCGTATCTCCCGCCATGTTGTTTTTTGGGAGCACCAAATGTTTTCCTCCCTATCCTCATTTCACTTACCTGCACTTTCCACTAATGTACTGTTTACTAATCCTTCCATCGATCTCTTCTCTGATGATTTTGATACAGGTCCCTCCGTCATTGAGACGCCCTTGCTTACTCCTGCTCCCCACCAGACTGCTCTCCCTGAAGGTCCACCTCTCCCTGCACCACCTCCTTCTCCACCGGTTCTTCCTCCCACCGATCCTCCTACGGGTCGACCGCACCGGGTAACTCAACCTCCTATCCACCTTCGTGATTATATTGTTGGTTCTGCTGCCTTTTCTACTTATGAACCTACCTCCTATCGTGAGGCTTGTACTAATCCTCTTTGGCAGAAAACTATGACTGATGAACTTCAGGCTTTGGACAAAACTCATACTTGGGATCTTGTTGCCTTCCTCCTGGAAAAACTTCGATTGGCTGCAAATGGGTTTACAAAATCAAGACTCATTCTGATGGCTCTATTGAACGCTATAAAGCTCGTCTTGTTGCCAAGGGTTTCAACCAGGAATATGGGATTGATTATGAGGAAACCTTCTCCCCTATTGCTCGGCTTACCTCTGTTCGCAGTTTACTGGCTGTTGCTGCTGCTCGCCACTGGGAGCTCTTACAGATAGATGTCAAAAATGCTTTCCTCAATGGTCATCTTCTTGAGGAGGTCTACATGTAACCTCCACCTGGGTCCACTTTTCCACCTCATCAAGTTTGCAAACTACAGGGTGCTCTCTATGGCCTCAAGCAAGCGCCTCGTGCTTGGTTTGCTAAGTTCAGTTCTACCATTCATGACTTCAGGTTCACCTGGCCTCAAGCAAGCACCCCGGGCCTGGTTTGCTAAGTTCAGTTCTATCATTCATGACTTCGGGTTCACCTCTAGCTCCTATGACTCTGCTCTTTTTATACGGACTACTCCTCATGGTACCACTCTTCTCTTTCTGTATGTGGATGATATGATTATCACTGGTAATGATGCCGCAGGTATTCTCCACCTCAAACGTTTTCTCCACCGACAGTTTGAGATGAAGGACCTTGGGACTCTCAACTACTTCTTAGGCCTTGAAGTCTCTCATGATTCTACTGGCTCTTATTTATCTCAGGCCAAATATGCATCCGATCTTCTGGCTCGTGCTGGTCTTACTGATTGCAAAACTACCTCTACTCCAGTTGATCCTCAGATTCGTCTCACTCCTCTCGACGGGGCTCTCCTCCCTGATGCTACTCTTTATCGTCAGCTCGTCGGTAATCTTGTCTATCTCACAGTGACTCGTCCTGACAATGCCTATGCTGTTCACATTGTTAGTCAGTACATGTCGGCTCCTCGCACTCCCCACTATACTGCTCTACTCCATATCCTCCGATACATCAAAGGCACCCTGTTCCATGGCCTTCACTACTCTGCTTCCTCATCTCTTGAACTGCGTGCCTTCTCTGATGCTGATTGGGCTGGGGATCCTACGGATCGACGCTCCACCACGGGCTTCTGTTTCTTCTTAGGGGATTCTTTTCTTACTTGGCGTAGCAAAAAACAATCCCTCATTGCCCGTTCTAGCACTGAAGCTGAATACCGAGCCCTTGCCGACACTACTCAGGAACTTCTCTGGCTTCGCTGGCTCATCACTGATATGGGTATTTCCTCTTCTGGCGCTACCGCTCTTTATTGTGACAATCGGAGTGCCATTCAGATTGCTCACAATGATGTTTTCCATGATCGCACCAAGCATATTGAGATTGATTGCCATTTCATTCGACAACATGTTACACGTGGTACTGTTCATCTTCTCCCAATTGCTTCTGCCGATCAACCTGTTGATATCTTCACCAAGGCTCATTCTCCTGGGCGCTTCCGTGATCTTGTTTCCAAACTCAACTTGGTCGATGCCTACCCTCCTTGAGTTTGCGGGGGGCTGTTAACATATAATATACATATAATATACACCCCCACTACCATGTATAGCTGTAAAAGACCTTGCATCTGTAAAGGCCACAATGTGTAGCTGTAAAGAAGAGAGTGTAGCTGTAAAGAAGAGAACTTTCACTTTAGCTTTAGCTTCTTTCAATGTAAGTTACCAGGCATCCGATTCTAATTGTCTCCCTCTCCTCTCTATAAAGAGAGGGAGCTTGCTCTCTTGTAATATATAGAAACATAATATAACAACACCAACTTTCAGTCCCTCTCTGTTCTCTCCTTGTTACCAAGCTTTCAATTTAGAAGAAAAATAATTTGGAAATGTAAGATAAGATCTAAATAGTAATGAAGCTAAAGGTATCGATTATGGTGACAACCATCTCTTCTGGAAGGCTGTCTCCTCTTGATTCACCATTCCCTATACGCATCTTATCATTTTTTAGCTCTGCTAATTTAGTGTACCTAACACACAACGTTTTAAAAAGATGACCAAATCAAAATCCCATAAAAGTAAAGATTCTATCAAAGTTATCAAGTATTCCACGTAAGAAAATAGATCAGACTGCTCTATGGAAACAATAAGAGACGTACTTGCGTGAGAGCATATCAAAGAGGCTAACGAGTCTCTGTGATGCATATGCACTCAAACGGTGGACATGGGGTGCCATGTTGGCCAAAATTGCAAGACAGTTTGTGTGGAGGTAAATATCTTGCATCAATTAAATATGTCAAACACTACAGTAGGAAAGCCTCTGTAAAAGCAACTGTTTCAGATACTTACCTACATCTCAACACATCCATCAATATATCCAATATGCAGGGTAAAGACTTACTTTCCAGTGTATTTACAAATGTTTGGTAAAAACTTACTTTCCAATGTATTTTCTGAATGTTACAATGTCTATTGACCATATAAATATAGACAAATCCATAAATATATTGAATGGCCCTAAAGATGCTAAGAACTGAGGCTCCATATCCTATGGAAAAAGTTCATTTATCTCTTGCCATCATTTAGACTGTATTTTTAATGTGACGAAGCTGGGGATGTTGCACCATTCGAAAGAGATCTGTCTGTGTAATTAGAATTAGGATAAGTTACATGACATGTGACAAACAACCAAAGTTATTAGCCCAAATATGAGCAACTATGTAGGAAGAGATTGTCCTTTGTCCTTTTGCATTTAAGGTTTATATAATAAATGTTCATTATTGTTATGATGATTTGCCATTAATTTTATACAAGTAGACATATGAAAATGTTAAATAAGCAATGGAGTGACAAGAAGGGTTAATAATATTCTAACGGCATTGTAATTTTCATCATTAATTTGTAGTATTTTTTTTTTTTTGAGTGAAGGGGGGGCATCAACAGATAACTACAAATAAAAATAGTCAAAGAAATTCTGCCCATGGTGAAAAGATACTACATTTCCATCAGAGGTAATTCTTGTATTTTAGAATTGTTAATATATCAGAATGTTTTACGTGTGGACTGATTATTTTCCCATGACATAACTAATAAATTCTCTATCAGTATACCACATAATTTTGTTCCTCTATTAATGTGTGTTCATGTAAGTCTTAAAAGGGAAATTGCCTGAACTCACAAATTTTCCACACACACAAAAAAATATATATATTTAAGAAATTAAAATATATATATATATATATATTTACTTAGCATCAACATTGAAATTGATATATCTGAATTTTAAGATCTCAACAAATCTCCAAAAATTCATACTGTAAGCATTGACAAATTTTGACAACAAGCACGTATGAGACAATCTTCTTTTCATGGGTCATACAAATCGATCTCAATTTCTGAACTGAAACAAGGAATCTATCACAACAATACCAAGAGAACACATAACAAAGTATTTAAATATAAATAATCAGCAGACATGGGCACCAAGCCATACCCGTAGCTTAGATAGGTTGTAATTCACAGTCCTTATCAGAATTATGATCATCAAGGAACCAAGAGAAGTTTGATGGAGCAGGCGTTCTTGGTACCATGGAACACTTGGCAGCATCTGTTCAAATAAATAAGATGTTAATATGATCTTTATATAATCCAGTTAAATGATAGCCTAAAGAGGCAGTACTCACCAGCTTGTGAATACTGGCATTGAAAGAAGAATCTTGACTGAGTACTAGCAAAATAATTAGCACCATGTAGATTTGATTGGATGTCCCTTTTGAAGCATTATACAGTGTTTCCAGCATGGGCATCAACTGTTGATTTCATTGCATAATGCAAATCAAATTAGGATATGTGGCATTTATGTTACGTAAACTACTAAAAATGATGACTGCTCATAAGATTTTTTAGTTACCATTGTACACAAAATTTTGTAAATTGTGTCCATAACATCACTTATCTGACAAGTAATAACCATTGTTCTTTTTCTTTTTTTTTTTCTTTTTTTTCTAAAAATTTTATTTTATCTCTTGCCAAGGTTACCACACAACAATAAGTGGGCTAACTAAATACAAATAAGATGGAAATGATAGCTGCCACTCCATACCAGTGTATCCAAATCTGTTCGCACCAAGACATACTCCAGAAAATTTGAGTTCCCATGCACTAATGAGTAAAGCAGTAAGATAGCAGTTTCATCAGCCAAGTACCTGAGGAGACAGTAGTCACAAAACCAATAAATTTACTTAAAGGATAAACAAATAGATAATACAATTTGATGATATGCACATAAATTTTTTAACGGTGAATGCATTATGCTAGGCACTTTACCCCTTGTGACGCAAGGTATAAGCCTCAAGGCGTAAACATTTTGAATTTTTATATTTAGTAAACAACTAAAATATGTTAAAATATTGTAAATTAAATATAAAAGTGCAAATACATTTTGTCTCAAAGCATCAAACATTTCACTCCAGAGAAGGAAGCTTGCACTCTTTACACGTAAAATCAACATTCTTAGCTTTAGTTTTCAAGCCTTAGATTTGTGTTTTTTCTTGGTCAATAATTTACATGTTTTTTCTCATGAATATAGTTACAAAAGGAGTTCTTTTTATGTTTAAATAATGTATTAGACTAAGTTTAACAACAATCCAAGATCAAGATCTCCATATGCACAAGCCTTTGAGGAGTGTCGCCTAAAAATAAAGCCTCAAGGCAAGCCTCGATAATGCGTTTTAAAACTTTGTATGAGAGAGAATAGAGCAATAGCATTTTCTACGTTTTTTCATTTTCATTTCTTTTAGATGGATGAGATAGGTCAGTTCATGCTGCTCAAAGACCAACCTCAATTAATAAAAAAAACACTCTTAGCAATCGTCAAGAAAGAATTTATCTAAGGAATTAAAGGGGGAAATGGTTAATATAGTGTATGAGGCAATATGGAGCCTAAAAAAGACATTTCAAAAACATTTAAAGCTAACATGGTCTCATACATATTATCCGTAACTACAAAATGCATAACATTAGTAATACTATGGGGCACCACAGGACATCACAGTATCATATTACTTGATTACTTGCACCAACAGGCACAGAACAAGAGGATTCTATTAAGGAATCTGTAACTTGAATTACAACCAAGATTCTAATCTAGTTTATCAAAGAAAGAAAAGAAAATCTGTGAATGTAATCCAAGGATGCCAACAAAGGATTAAAAAGGTAAGCAACCAAATTAAAACTCTAGCATTTAGGAGGGACAGACTGCAATATGCAAAAATAACAGTCAACATCACTTTACTAGAAGAGATTGGAATAAGAACTGAACCACACTCAACAGCGGATCCGACTGTTGGAGTAAATATATTTTTGGAATTTCAACGCTAGCGCCATATTTATGTTAAACAACATGCATGGGATCTCAACAGATTCTAAAGAACTTTTCTCATTTTCCTTTGCTTTTCCTTATTTCCACCATTTTTTCTAGGGGAGATTACAATTCAGTGGGAAGTGTGGCAAATACTTGCTAAAATGGTGAGAATCTTCTTGGGATGTAACATTTGCTGTGTTTTTTACACAGAAAGAGTTGCACTACCAGATATTGCAAATTATTTTTATCACATGCACTGATTTGTAGTTTTCCCCCCCCTTTTTTTTTATAGTGATAGGAAAAATTACATCTGATGACCTATAATAAACAAAAATTAAAGCTCCATTATATATTTGCTCCCGGGACAACCTCTCGGTGAAGATTGATTTTTTTTATTTGAATCCAAATTATGCACCATATTATATTTTATAGGTACATGATTCAACAAACCCTCCAATAATTAACAACTAACAACTTACTAATCTCTAATTATAGATAATTATTTGAGAAACCAACTTTAACAGGGTAGATAAAGTTTTAATTGCCTAATATTTAACAAAAAATATATATTCTAGTCCAAAAAACAAATTTATTCTATCTTCAACTATGCTCATTACTTACAATCAAAGGAATTCAAGTTGAAAATAACAATTAAAATTAAAAACAACCTACCTCGCAATAAAAACATGTTGCTTTATTGTAGCAAGGAACTCTCTAACTCCTCCATTGTAGAAGTAAAGGGGAGGAAAGGCCAATCCTTCAAATATTTTCAGCTGTAACAGATGCCATTGAAGGTAAATAAAGTGCTAGTGAAAAAAAAAATCATATAGCATAGACTAAGGATTCATCTGATGATCTATGTGCCATAGATGCTTCAACCACATACAGGCAATTAGCATTAGGAGAAGCCATCTAATGCAAAGGATAACACAATCAACAACGGTAGATCATACTAAAACAAATATGATGCAAAAATTATAACCATAGCTTTACAAAAATGACAAAGACCCGAAGCAAGGTCAATTGACAAGATCATGAAAAAAAAATACAAAAAAGGATAGAACTCAATTCCCCTAAAGCTACTGACATAAAGAAATGACATGAGACATTCTAAACATCACTAGAGGTCCCACATTTTAGTAACAGATTTTTGGTAACAAATTCTAAACATTCTAAACAGATTTTTGTAACATATAAAATTTCACCATTGTCCATTTGTAGACACCCCATTTTTGACCGACCTTAAGACTCAGACGTCACCAGTTGAGCGCTTGGTGATACTGCATATTGTGCTCGTTCAGAAGTTTCAGAGTCTTGGCTGCGAGCCTTGCCTTTGGACTTTCAGACTTTTTCACGCCTTACCTTGGTTTGCGAACCAGGCTCGGTTTTCTCTGTTTCTCTTTCCGAAGGGAGGGAGAGGTCTCGTAGACCATCTCTCAGTGGCCGTAGGCTACGTTTCGTGGTCGTAGGCCATTTTTGCCCGTTTGGAGTCTGGTTTCTGATTTTTCAGAATCGTTGGCCGTGTGCCTCGGTTCGGGACCGCTTAACCATCTCCGTTTGCTCCGATTTTTGGCATACTTCTTATTTGCTCCCTTTTGAGGGACACTGTGGTCCGAGAGACCGACTTCGTGGTCGAACATCACTCCCGGTGCCTAACAGCCAGTTTTCGGGGCCTCGGGCTGCGCGTTTCAGCCCCCGAACCTTTGTTTTGCATTGGTTTTGGTTCATTTTTGGCAGGGATCTCTGTTTCATTGGTAAGAAGGCCGTAGAAGGGTGGGAGGCCAGTAATTGTTCTGTTAGCCAACTTTATCCCTTCATCACCCGCCGTCGCCCGTTTTTCCTCACTTCAAAGCCAATGTTGAACACCCTTGGGCTATTTTCTTGAACCCTAAACCACATATTTGTGATGTACACATCTGGGAGGCCACCAATATTTGGTGGCCGGCCAGTAATTGTTGTTGAACCTTTTGAACCCCTTTGAAAAGTGGGTTGTTCTCTCTCTTGGTTCACTTTTTTCAGTGTTTAACCACAGGGTTGTGTTGTGCACACATCAGAGACTCTCTTTCTGTGGTGGCCGGCCACTAATCACACTTGAACCTTTTGACCCTTGGTCGGCCGGCCATGGGAAGTAGCTAGCCGGCCACCTGCAACCTAGATAACTGGCCGGCCAGAATCCTTACTCCATCTACAGTGCAGATACAACCTCTTTTTCCCCCTAGATTCTGTATCCGGGGGGCTGTTTTTTGGAGGAAAACTTGGTTTGTTTTCCCCCCATTTTTCCCTCCCTTTTTCCCCCCCTTTTGCCTTTATATCAGCAGCTCCAACTGCTGGTTTAGGGTTACCAAAAATCCCCCCTAAGCTCTTGCTTTGTATCTCTCTTTCTCCATACTCCCAAGCTCAAAACCTCTCAAGTCCAACACCCTTCTCTACACCACCACCTAGCATCATACCTCCAACCTCCATTGCAGCCACTTGAGGTTGTTTTCCAGAGCTAAAGAGCCTCCAAACTCAAGCCAAGAGGCTGTCAAGACTTGGTCTACAAGGGTAAGCTCCATTTCCCCTTCTTTTGTCCATACTTTGCATGCTTTCTAAGTCATTTTTGCTTGCTGTTTTGGGCTCCGACCCTAACTAGAACTAGGCTTATTTTGAGCCATTTTTCATGTTTGTTTAAGGGTATTTACTTGTTTGAGGTCTCCTTATTGCACTTGCTTCATTATCTCCCTTGTATGCCATCTTCTTGTGTAGCATTTTTGGCTTATGTATAAACTGTTTTGAGCTCTGTCATGAACTGAAAAGTGGCTTATTTTGAGCCCTTCTTAAACATTGTTGAAGGGCTCATTGCTGTTTGAGGCTTCTATTTACCACTTGCCTTTATATCTCTCTTTTGGCTTCATTTTTGCATGATTTGTTAGCCTCTTATGCTTCTGTTTTTGGGTTCTGGTCCGAACTACAAATGACCTTATTTTGACCCCCTCTTCATGTTTCATTAAGGGTCTTTCACTTTTTGAGGCATCCTTTATATACTTTGTGTTATATCTCTCTTTTTGGCCCTATTTTGCATAGCATTTTGAGCATTCTTGCATACTGTTTTGGGTCCGGCCATCAACTTTAAAGTGCAATATTTTTGGCCCCTCTTCAATATTATTGAAGGGCCCCTTTGTGTTTGAGGCCAGCAACCACCACCTGCTTCTTTGTCCCTCATTTTGGCCCATTTCTTGCATGAGAGCTTAGCCATACCTGTGTTGGTTTTTGGGGTTTGTTGTAAACTGTAAAATATCATATTTTGGGCCCCTCTTCAACATTGTTGAAGGGCCCTCACCTGTTTGAGGTCTGCAGCTGTGACTCACTTCTCTATCTCACATTTAGAGTCATTTTTGCATGCTAGTTTTGCCCTATTTGTGTTTGTTGTTTGGCCTCGCTTAAAGCTGTAAACATGCTTTTTTTGGGGCTTCCTTGAATCTGTCTTCACATGTCATGAGCAAATAATGCATGCTTGATATAGCTACGAGTCATTTCATGTGCTTAATCTTGCATTTCGGGACCATTTTCATGCATCGGGTGCCATGTGTTCATGATTCGGGGCTGTTTTGGGTCATGTTTTGCTGCTGAAACTTGCATATTTGTATGCCATTTTTCATGCCTTGCCATGTCTTGATAGAGTGGCATTTTCTGCCTTAGGATCGGTCCTCGGTTTGCGTGCATGCGTGCACGCACTACTAGAAAAAACACTTTCCGTGACGAACATGTTTGGTCGCGAAAAGTACCATATTTGGTTGCAAAAACCTTTTCGCGACCAAAATATGTTGGTCGCGAGTTGGTCGCTAAAGCCTTGTCACAGATAGTTTTCTGCGACCAAAAAAGCCTTTGGTCGCTAAAAGTGACCATTCGCGACCAACTTTTTTGGTCGCGAAAAGTCCAATTCATATTAGACAAAAGTAAACTTTTAGCGACCAAAGATAAGTTGGTCGCCAAAAGTCAGCGCCTTGACCCAAAAAAAATAATTCTTTTGTGCTCCCTGGAACTTGAACTCCTGACCAAGGAGTCACCATGCACCCAATCCACTCTGTCACTCTGCCAATAACATACTTCTTGTTCATATTTGACAAAAAATATATATAACCCATAACAATTGGGTTATATATTATTTTATAAAACTTTTAATGCCTAAATAGAAAAATAGCATGTAATTACTGTAGTATCATTTTTTTTTTAAATTTATCCCGCCATAACTTTCCGCGACCAACTTTTTTTTTGGTCGCCAAAGGGTAATCTTCCGCGACAAAAAAAGCCTCTGGTCGCCAATAGTAGACTTTTCGCGACCAATTTTTTTTTTTGGTCCCCAAAAGGTGATCTTCCGCGACCAAAAAAGTCTTTGGTCGCCAATAGCATACTTTTCGCGACCAACTTTTTTTTTTGGTCGCCAAAGGGTAATCTTCCGTGACCAAAAAAGCCTTTGGTCGCCAATAGTATACTTTCCGCGACCAACTTTTTTTTTTGGTCGCCAAAAGGTGATTTTCCGTGACCAAAAAATTGTGGTCGCCAAAAGTTAAATTTTAGTCGCAGAAAGTGGACTATTTGCGACCAAAAAAAATAGGTGGTCGTCAAAAGTGTTTTTTCTTGTAGTGGCGCATCTCGAGTTGTCTCATTTTCATCTCATGGCCTCCTATGTGAGTGTGGCTGAGGTTCACTCATGTTGGTGTAAGTCCATTGTGTATTGTGTATGCCATTTCATTTCATAGCATTGCGTATGCTAGGTTGTATGTTAGCGCATTGTGTATGCCATGTTACCTCGTGCATCGTGTATGCCATTTCATAGCATTGTGCATGCTAGGTTATTATGTTAGGTTGTCATCCATAGTTGCATTTTCATGGCATATCATGGACGGATATCTATTGTGCTTTGATGGTAGGGAATTAGCCCAGGGGATAGGGATAAGTTCTGTACTCCGCGGTGACGGAAGTGGTCAATTCCTTAATTGTATGGTCGAAACTCCGGATTACCATGATGGAGTTAGGCTTTTAGTTGAGTTTCATGTGCATTATTCTATATTGAGTAATGCAAACATCATGCATCGATATGCGTGATTGGTGGCACGAGGATCGAGGCATGCATACATCTGTGAAAATACATTGCTATGCCCCTTTCCTGCTCTCTGTTGCAGCAAATCAAGAATTAGCAACCTTCCGGAGCTTGGCGCGCTTTCCAAGAATAATTGTAAAACAGAGGCTAATCGGGGCATCCCAGTGGATTTCCGCGCAAGGCAGCCCAGGCATGCATCATCCATCATCGGAAGAAGAGTCAAGGCAGTCCCTGGCTTGCATGCCAGTTTATTATTTTTCTTAGTTAATTTGTAAATTAATTAGGGATTTGTATATTATTTGGACTGCATTATTTGGACAGTACTATTTATTCGGACCCTCTGTGCGAGGGCATAATTGTAATAAGTGTGGGTGAGTGTGATGTATGTCTTCCAACCCCACATCTTTCTTCCCTTTTATTTACCTGCTTATGATGGTTAGATTAGGGCATGTTTCAATTAGCATACAGTATGACAGCATGTTTGCATCATTCACCTGTTTTGCATGCACCAGGCTCGGCGCATCATACTAACTGCATTTGTATTTCAATTTCAAAGTTGAATGCTTGTTAGTTGTTGCATTTCATATGCCATGTTTAGAATAGCCGAGCCTACTATAGTTGCATTTTTGCATGTGTTGCATTAGGCATTTCTGTATAATTAGGATCATGCATGGATTTCTAATTAGCTTCTTTTTTGGCTTGGAGTACTCGGTAAGTTTTATGCTTTAGCATTCTTGCATGCGTGTGAGTGACTGCCATGAATAGCATGCTTACCATGAGGCTATTTGCTTATGTAATATAACTGCCTAAATGCCTGTGGGTGAAGGTTGGGTTATTTGGATTGGAACAAATCATCAACTGTGAGTTTTAAGCCCACTAGATAGTGGCAAAACCATCTTTTCTTAAGCCCACTTGAGGGTGGCAAAATCTGAATCTTTAAGCCTACTTGCGAGTAGCAAACCATCTTTCAAAAACAAACATGAAATGTTTTGTTCCAATTCAGGCGACCCAGTCTATACTTGTATGCTGTGCGCATCACATAGTAATCTAGGCTAATAACCGGAATAAGAACATATAATGTTTTCAAAAATAGATATCATGGTTAGTAGAGGCCGATCTTTGATCGGGCGAGTGGGGATGCTCACGAAGTGACCTTCCCCAATCGTACCTAAGTTTCCGAGCCGAGGCAGCTTTGGTGATGACGGACACGTGGCCTTAGGCAAACGAGTCAGGATTTCCTAAATTTTCCCAAAATAAAACATTTAGGTGGCGACTCTGTATCTGGCAAAGCAGTCCATGTTTGGCACTTCTTTCAAAAATCAGTTTTCTCAAAACGATTTGCCGGATTTAGACTCTTTGGTTCAGACTTAGAACTGTGACAAATTTGAGAGTCCTGAGCTGTAGTGACCCCAAATGAACAGAACGGGAGCTCACCCTCCCGGGGCGTTCGGAGACGTTTACACCATTGCATATAGATAAAACCAAAAGAAAAAACAAAACAAGAAGTTAAATGTTTTAAACCTGATCAGTCATGATCATCAAATGGCCATATCTCAAAGTCTTCACACTGTCATACTGTTTTCCATGCTGAAGTCCAAGAATCTGCTTGATGCTCGTGATTTTAGCGTTCTCCATGATCTGTTTATGGCTTGCTTCCCTCACATTAAGCAATGTACCTCTCAACGGGAACACACCATAATAATTTCGACCCACAACAGAAATTCCTGCCATCTGTATATACTCAAATCAGATAAAAACTCTAAAACAAAACCAAGATCATGTCTTTTTCTTTTCAGTTTGTTAGTTTCATGTGAATTTGAAATTTAATTCAGTACACATTTTAGAATCATGTTTATAATATCAACATATAGGCTTCTTCATAGTTTCATAGTCCATACCTGCAAGGCATTTTCATGAAATTCATTCTGCACCTGCCTCAGATGTGATCTTGGCAACTGGGGAAAATAAAAAGTCACTAGAAGAAAAAAATTCTAAGTGAATGCTCATGTAAGAGAAAAAGAATTATAGGAGCACATTCTTCATGTGATGTCAACTATTTTGCCAAAGTCCAGCGCAGTAATTTAATTAGAGCAATGTTAGAAATGTAGAAAACTAAACATAGACTTTCTGCTTTTGTGAGACATTTGTAAATTTGTTAGATATTTTTGTGTTTATTATGTGTTTGATTCTCTATGTATTTAGACTTTCTTATTTTATTGGGTACTTGAATAAGGTCTATAGATCAATGATATAAATGCACAAACATAGATCATATTAGGATTAACTACACTCAATGGTACATAAAAGTATGTGCTTTGTTAACAGGCATGTCACTACAAGAACGAAAAACAATGAGATTGAAATTAGGATAGGGCCACCAATGAGTCCATATCCAGGAAAATCCATTGCCAACACTGTATACTCAATTCAAAAAATTTAATGGGTATTCACAACTAGCATCTTATTATGATTTTAATTGGGTATGTGACAGAGATACTCATAATATCTCCAAAGTCTGCAGTAGTCCTAGCGTTGAAGGAATCTTGCCACTGAGTTCATTGTTATTAAAAACCCTGCTCAAATTAATTTACAAGATGACATTGAAATTAGGGCTCAGATTGAGAGAAACGGGGCTGGCCAGAAATTCAGTCCAACATTCCTCATCATATTATAAAACTAAAAAAAGAAGAGAACACCCATTATTCACATGGAAGATCCTATACGTACGAATACTAAAATTAACGAAAACATCAAAAAATTCTGTTTGTTTTGTTCAATTCTTTTGAGCATTAATCTACTAACGAAACCATATTCAATGATTCTAAATTTTTTAAAACTAGAACCAAACTACCCGATTTCAACCAGTTCAGATCAGATTCCCCGTTTAACCAATTTTTAAACATCTTTTAAGTATATACACAAACACAAGTAAAGTTCTAAGAGCCGCCAGAAGAAAAGAAAAAGTCATACACTAAGGCATTTTCTAAACTGCTGTTTAACATGTTGCTTAAAATTAGTTATCTAGAAATGTTAATAACATAGAAAGATGAGATACATAAATGACAAACTTATCTGGAATGACAAGAGGGGGTCCAAACCAGCCAGTCAAGGCTATATAGCTTACAAGCTATTCACAAAATTAAAGCCATTTCTTATTTTTGGGATGGTGATAACAAATTCTATTCTAAATTACATAGAAATGACGGTTACTACAACAACCAACCAATGTAAAATTTTCCACCTTACCATGAAACATTGAGCCCCAAATAGAAAACCAAATCAAATCATGAATTTGTTGCAGACGGACACAGAAAAGATTCTGCAGCAAAGGAGAATCTAGAAGCCTAATTTCGCCGGAAAAAGTGAAGTGAGATCAACTTATTGGCACAACCTAGCTGGTGTTTGCATCCCCAAATGAAACCGAAGTTAAGGACTTTGAAGCCCATGCCCTAGCATTCATCGCTCCCTCTTGCAAATTACTTCTTTTGCAGGGCTCCTTTAGGGAATTGAATAACTGGATTGCTCGATTCAGATAGGCCGGAGGATGTTCCCACAAGCTCTTTAACTTCATATTCGGGATGTACTGTCTCCAAACCAATCGAGTACATGCAGACAGAGTTGGTAAAAGGAAATAGAGCAACCTCAAAAGCACGAATGCAGTGGCCAAGGCCAAATAGAAATTCTTGTAAGAGAGACCACTAAGGAAGTAAAATCCCTCTTCCTCTCTCTAATTCATTTTCATATTGGACATAAAGGACTAATCAATTTCATTTTGCAAATCTACCTTGTTATTAGTATCCAATCTACCCCTCTCACATTCCCATCTAATGGGGACTAAAGTTGGCATACAATGTTATTTCTGTTTACACTTCTAAGTTCATCCAATTATACATTGGAACAAAAGATTTGCTCCTTTATAGACTCTTAAATGCCCTTATATTTTGGCCATGTATAAAAACCCAATACATTTGCACAACACACATTGCATGATGTCTAATATTTCCATTTCACAATATATACACCACAAAAACAGTAGAATGTTTAGACTAATTCAATTCCAAATGGATTCAATGAAATCTCCTATAAACTAACTCAAATAAACCAACATGAATCAAACCTAGCTCAAGAACAGTAACTGAAACCACAAAATCATACTGCACGTGAAATGAATAAAATAAAAGACACAAAAAAATCAAATAAAAAGGATTGAGCAGGGCACTACATACCTCCCAGCAGATACATATCTATCGGCATAATCAGTACCGAATGGGAGATCCTCCGCGTCTCCTTCGACAATTTTGCATTCCTTTAATGCCTCTTTCTGCTTTGCTTTCGTAAGCTGATGAGGTTTTGGGTGTTTTGAAGAACAATAACCCCAATAAGAGGGAGGAGATTGAGAAATTGTTGAACCCTATGTCGAATCATGTTTTCGATCAGATGGTTTCCTTTGGGAACCTAATCACTGATTTCCAAGAAGAAGAAGACAATGTTATGATTGATGATAATGTGGGTTTTACTGTTGTGTTTGACGAGGAAGAAGAACAGAATGGTTTTGATGATGATGATCTTAAAGTTGAGACCAAGCTTTTGGGTCATCTCCAATTCGATAATTTCAGCCTTGTTAAGTGTTTGTTGCAAAACCGATTGAAGATTGTGTGGTGTACTCGTCTAGCCAGGGCCGAGGATCAGGAGACGAGAGAAGATTGAGGAAGAAATGTTGGATTCTGGACTGGAATTGGCTGCAATTCTTGAGCAGTTGCAAGCCGATTGAGAGAGAGAACACAGAGAGAGGGAGAGTTGGAGACAGAGGAGATCAGGGCCTTTTTTTTATTTTTATTTTTTTGTTTTCCAAGTACAAAACGACGTCGTTTTTAATTTGGCGACTAAATTTTTTTTGTCGCCAAAAAATTTTATTTCCCCCCTCCCTGTTTGAAATTTCCCTCCCAAACACTTTTGGCGACCAAAACACCACATTAGTCGCAAAAAAGGTACCTTCGGCAACAAATTTTTTTAGTCGCTAAATCTCAATCAACGGCGACTAAAATATTAGTCGCCAAAATGTAACCTTCCGCGACCAAATTTGTAATTGGTCGCGAAAAGCATACCAATTTCTGCGACTAACTCATTTTTGGTCGCCAAAATGTGACCTTCTGCGACCAACTCATATTTGGTCGCCAAAAATATTGATCATTCACGACTAATTAATATTTGGTCGCCAAATGTCATTTTTTTGCGACCAAAAATTTTTTGGTCGGTCAAAGTGATCGGCAAATGTGTAAATTCTTGTAGTGTCTCTCTCTCTCTTGTCTTCTCTAATTATCAATCACTTATCTCACTTTTATATATATATATATATATATATATCTCATTGAGTCTAAAAAAGTAAGTTGCATATTATTTTCCTATATATTTTTAATTGTACACTTAAAAAGTATGTCAGATTCTACGCACCTTTTAATTACTATCAATCTCATTAACCCCAATTGTACCCTTTGTACGTCAGCATTTGAGAACAAAAACATGGAAATGTTACCATGCTGGGGGTGCACATGGAATGTACCTTACAAGAAGAAGATTAAGTGAAAAAATCAAAATTATGTGTTTATTTCTAAATAACAAAAGTTCTACACAGTATAAACCACCAGTTTAAGGTGAAGTTTCACCTAATTTATATAACATTACTTTTTTATTTTATTTTACGATAATCCAAGTGAAGTTAATAACCAAACTGCCCAAACAAACATCCATTCAAAACAAGTTTCTGATTTTCTTTCATGGAAAAAAAAAAAAGTACCAAACCAATTAGGCATAGTTTAGTTATTCATCACGACTTTCTTAGGGGTTTAATCTCTAAGCGAAAGTCATGATTTAACTCTCTTTAGGAAGAGTTAAATGAAGGGGGCAAGCACTTCATATTTTACAAAGAATGAAAACCTAACTTCCATAAGTGTTAATCCAATAATTGACTTTCATTGATTAAAATTTTTTTTAAAAGAAGTACCAAATCAACACACAATATCAAATTCTGGTTGAATTTGAACAAGCCTAAAAGATTAAAAAAAAAAAAATAGAAGTGAAAAAGCCCAATTACAAGCAAAATACCTTCTTCTTCTTTTTTTAATGCCAAAAAGCACAATTAAGGGTTCATTTGGGATGTGAGTTGATTTTTAGACTATTTTAACCTGGGGCTCAAAAGTCTCGTTTAAGATAGGCTTTTTGATTTTTTTGACTTTTATGATAAAAAAAAATGATTATGATTTAAATATGATATTTTATCTTACTAAGCTAAAAATTTTATTTTATTTTTTTTTGACTATTTTAATAATAAAAAAAACCGTCTTAATTTATGTTGCGCATTTGGAATATGCTTTCGAGCTGTACTTAAAAAATACTTTTTTTATTTTGCTTGTCAAACACTACAGCTTTTTTAGCCACACATTTAATAATAATAATAATAATTAAATATTTGCCACACAGAATAAAAATAACATGCAAGTCGAAAAACCTGAAGCACAAGATTATTTATAAGAGAAGAGTTTGACTATAATTGATTAAAAAACCAGTAGCCTGCCTTGTTTGCCAATAGTTTTTCTTTTCTTTCTCTCCCTTGTTTTCTGTGTCTCACAGAGTTATTGAAATCTATAGAAAGAAAGGAGAAATGGCTGGTCCTCAGTGTTGTTCAAACCCACCAATACTAAGCTCAAACTGTGGAGATGGTTCCGTGCTTCAACTTGGAGGCCTCAACACCTATGTCACTGGTTCCCCTGTTTCCAAAACTGGAATTCTTCTCATTTCTGATGTTTTTGGTACCTGTCCTGTTTTTCAATTCTCTCCTGTTTAGTTGTGATTTCGTTTTTTTGTCTTTTTTTTTTATTTTTTATTTTTTATTTTCTAAAACTTGTTTGTTGAATTTTTTTTCCTTCTAAAAATAACTCACTAACGGATTTATTTGTTATCAAAAAATTATACAATAGTTCTGGAGTATCACATGGCCATATTTTCTTATCAATCACTATTCATTATATCTCGTCATGTTCTTCAATCACTTAACACAAATAGTTAATATTTTATCTTCTCTACCAATTATACTATTATCAAGCACTACACGACTATACTTTTAAATTGCCAAATAATCACCTCCCGTTATCTCTGTATCTATATCAAATGATTAAAAAAAAAAACACCTAATAAGAAATTAATCTCATACTTTTGATATAATTATCCCTTTTAATATGACTAAAATAACTAAAACTAATACAGATGGAGAGTAACACTAAAATAAATAAATATAAATTTATATTTTAATTAAAAATAAATGATAATATATTTTATTTATTTATTTATATTTATTTACACAACTAATAATTACTAATAATAAAAAAATCTTAACGAATTAAAATTTTTTAAATTGATAATGGATAATTATGGTTTGCTTATTTTAGAAGATTTTAATGGGGTTCACTTTTTATTTATCAATTGTAGGATATGAAGCACCAAAGTTGAGGTATGTATGTCCATCATAATTGCTTTTACATTTTTTTTTAGCTTTTTGTGTCTTGTATTATGCGTAATCCATACCAATATTTTAAAAATCAGATCGGTGAGTGAATCGAAAAATAGATCGGGTGGACGGGTTACTAGTTCAACCGTCGGGTTGAATCGAAATTGAACCGTGACGTTATCAATATATTAAAAAGTATATTTAAATAAAAATATAAGTAATAAATTTATAAATTTACAAAAAAAAACAAAAAATGTTAAATTATCTTAAATATTTCTCCTAATATTTTTTATACTAAAAAATATAAAAATAAGTTTGAATACAATTAATATTATATATTTCCTATATATTAACAAGGAATCATGTTGGTAGAGTGGAAATTCATGTTCTTTGGAGCTTGACATGTTGGGTTCAAGTCCCTTTAGCATCAGTTTTTTAATATTGGACCAAATATAGCACTTCAACCCGAACCGGGTTTAGCGGTTTAACCGTGATTCTCACCGATCCGGACCGGTCGACAGTTCAACTGGTTGAACCGGCCGGTCCGGTCCGGTTTTCAAAACATTGATCCATACAATTATTGGTTTTTTTTTTTAGTACTGTTATTAGTACCTCATAAATTATTTTGAATTCCTAATTTTTAGTTTTTTTTATTAAAATAATAACCTCAAATAAAATTACTATAAAGGACATTATTAATTTTGGGACACCACATCTCACAATTAAACCTACACACCTACTACATCATGAATTAAGGTTTATGAGACCACCCACCTCCATCAGCATCCGTTAATCTTTCCCAGATTACACCTTCAAAACCTACTCACTCTCAAAACCTTGAAAATCCTTTGGCGGCAATATTCTACCGGTAATGGTGGAAACCATTTGATTACCTATATTGAACGGTCAAAACATGAAAATTTCTTAACACATTGAACAGTTAAAATTATTAACATTTGCAGAAGTTTTCATTTTTTCAAGTTCAGGAATACAGGATTGAACATTACTTATTTGTTCAGGCCTGAACAAAGAAGTAATGTTTGGGAATGTAGGTCCGAATATAAAAATTTCTTAACACATTGAACGGTTAAAATTGTTAACGCTTGCAAAAGTTTTCATTTTTTCAAGTTCAGGAATACAGGCCTGAACATTACTTATTTGTTCATGAACACATTACCGAATATAGATTATTTGTTCAGGAATACAGGTCCAAACATGAAAATTTGTTAACACTTTCAACGATTAAAATTCTTAACGCTTGCAGAAATTTTATTTTTTCAAGTTCAGTAGTTTCGATTTTGAAGAAACGATGAGAGAGAGAGAGAGAGAGAGAGAGAATACTACTGTGATTATAGTTAAACCGGCAGAGACAGTATTCTTCTTCTTCTTCTCCTTCTTCTTTTTTGTGGGTTTTGAAAAGGATGTGACTCTTCTTCTTCTTAGTGGATTTTGTTAGGATTTTTTGGAATTGAGATTTTTTTTTTGGAGTGGGGGTGTATATTTAATGGGTGGAATATTTAAGAATAATTTTGGTATTATTTGGGGGAGAAAAAAATTTTAAGAGTTTTAAAATTTATAAGTGAGGGTCCAAAGAAATAAAAGGTCCAAAATAATTCATGAGGTGTTAATAGTACCACTCTTTTTTTTACATGTATTTGGGTTGGTGTGTGGAGTTCAGAATTCACAAAAATTATTTAGTTGTCATTTGGCAATAGATTTTTTTAATTCTTTTGATTATTTTAGTTTGTGATTAAATGTTTGTTTTGTTTGATTTTTTTTTAACTTTTGTAAGAAAAAAAAATGAAATGATTATGATTTGAATGTGATATTTTGTCTTATTAACTTTTTAATCTATTTTATCCTTTTTTTTTTTATTAATTTAGTCCAAAAAAAGAAAAGAAAAAGAAATTCATTACCAAACGAAGCCTTCGTTATCCTTGAGTGGAAAAACAAAAATTGTTTCGGGCCTCATTTATTGACGTTGAGTTTTTGAGTAGTTGTGGTCTCTTCTTTGTACATTCTATGGTTATACAGTGGATTTCTTTTTCACCCGAATATAGATAATGAAAAAAGATTGGGAGTCTAAATTAGGAATTCTAACGCTGTGTTTGGTTGGAAAATTTAAGAAGAGATTTGGAAATAAAAATAGAAAAGGTAGGTGAAACGTACATAAAACATACTTATGTTTTACTTAATTTCACACACCTTTTCCATTTTCCTTTCCAAATCCCTCTCCAAATCCTCCAACCAAACACAGCGTAATAGTTTTAATTGGTGCGTGAGTCTCATGTAATGTGATGTAATGTTTTAGACTTGATTTTTTTTTTTATTTTTTACATCATGAATATTCTTTTAGAACTCTCAAATTAAAAGAATGTATCATTTTTGCATATATAATTTGTGTCAACCATAATGTGCGTAGTGTGGTTCCGTTGGCTGTGTAAGACTTCACTTTTCAAAAAATAAAAAATAGAAAGTAAAAAAATTCTCCTAATTTTTCTTACTTTTTAGGTAGTGGAAACTAACTTATGAAAAATATTTTCCAACTCTTTAAGGAAGCTTGCAGACAAAATTGCATACTCTGGGTTCTATGTGGTGGTTCCAGACTTCTTTTATGGAGATCCCTTTACTTATGAGAATGCTGAGAAGCCACTACCAGTTTGGATCAAGTTTCATGGAACGGTTGGTTTTTTCATATTTTTGCAGAAAACTTTACTTAAATAATTTCATCTTTTTAATTTATGAGTAATGATGTTATTTAAATAGAATTTTCCTACGGAAATATGTGGCTCTTTATGATCAGCTAATACGTGACCAGGGTTTCATAATAATTCTTGAAATTCTTTCTACATCAAAAAGAATTTCAAAATTATCACACAATTTCAAAAGAGGTGTTTGATTCACTAAAATGAAAGCTAGAATGAAATCACGTTGCTTCTGTAATACTGTATTTAATTGAGAGATTTGGGAAAGAATTTGAAAAGAGAAAAAGAAAAGGTTTGTGAAATGTGAATAAAATGTACTTACATTTCACATAGTTTCACACATCTTTTCCCTTTCCATTTCTGAATTTCTCTCCAAATCCTCCCACCAAACATAGCATAAATGTGAGGTGACCAAATGGATAATTAAAGATTATGTTGTTTACTAATCTAACTCAATAACCAATTCTACACTAATTTTATAATTGTTAATTCTCTCGCTATTAATTTGCAAATCAATCAGTATTGATATATAAACAAATTTTTAATGTAAAATTTACATACAGAATGTGATTGGTACCTTCATTTTCTAATCAAAACACACATCATTAACTTTATAATTTTAAAAAGAAAAACTCGATTCATACATAGAAATCATACCAAAAAAAATAAAAATAAAAATTCACAAGAATAATGTGATAATGTTGTAAAGTGAATGGTCTACATTATTGCATACCATACTGTATGAAACTTTTGTATAAATTTTTTATTTGTATATCATTATTTTTTTAAAAATACCATGAACACACCATTCTGAATAATATACACATTCTGAATGTTATTTTTGTATAAACTCTCTTTATAAATTATTTTTTTATCCATTATTGAATCTTTTGTATAGTTAATGCTTACCCAGAGAGTTGAATGTTTGAACCCCTTTATTGTGTTTGAAGGAAAAAGGATTAGAAGATGCAAAACCTGTAATTGCAGCTCTGAAGAATCAAGGCATATCTGCCATTGGGGCAGCAGGTTTCTGCTGGGGTGGTGAGATTTCAACTTTTTTCATATCTCTAAGGCTGTATTTGGATCTTAGATTTGAGGAGGAATTAGCAGAAGGAAAGAAAAAATGACAAAAATCCTATTTCATTTCCCTTCACAGACTCTTAAACAAATTTATAATCCAAACACAGTAAAAAACTATCCACTACATGATAATTGTGTTAAAAAGTCATGTAAATCGAGTTTAGGTGAAATGGGTGAGGTTATGATCCGAGCCTTGAAGCTTTTTAACTTGGCTTCTTTTTTGAGAGAAGTACGCCATTTGTAACAGTTCATTATGCACGAGTACGATCTTTTAGTGAAGATCAGAGATGAGAAGCTCTAACCCTGAAATTTTTTGATCTTTCTAAATTCTTGTTAGGGAAGGTACTTGTGAAACTAGCAAAACCAGAGTACATTCAAGCTGCAGTCATGTTACATCCTTCATTTCTTAAACTTGATGAAATGAAAGGTACATATATGACCTTATTATAAGCACTTTTTAAAATACATATTCTCTCTCTCTCTCTCTCTCTCTCATGGTTTTGAAGGGCATTTTTACTTTGCTAACCAGAGGTCCAGGTCCCTATTGCTATTCTGGGAGCTGAAGTAGACGATTATTGTCCAATAGAGCTGTTGAAGCAATTTGAAGAAGTTCTTGCCTCCAAAACTGAGGTAGTGTTTGGCAACTTTTTAAAAGTTTGTCTAGATAGTCTAGTCTTTAATATGTATCAGTATTAAATGTTATTTTAGTGGATTTTTTCTTTTTCTTTTAATTTTAATTTTTTTATACTATTGATTATATTCATGAAATGCAATTAGTCCACTCCTACTTGTATTTATAATTTTTTCTTCACAAATGTCTCCCCAATCTTTCTAATATTTTATTTACCAATCTTTGAATTGAATTTTATAATGTTTTTTTATTTTTATTTTTATTTTTATTTTTATTTTTTAAGGTGAATAGCTTTGTGAAGATGTTTCCTGGGACTGAACACGGATGGACAGTGAGATATAGTGATGAAGATGAAAATGCTGTCAAAAGTGCAGAAGAAGCCCACCAAGACATGTTAGATTGGTTCACCAAACATGTCAAGTAAAGCAATATATATATATATACTTCTGATTAATAAAATAAATTTAAAAATAAAATAAAAACATTGTTGAGTTGTGATATTACAGGTATTGGGTTTCCTGTAACAAGGTCTTGGTGCCTCATTTGATAATTCTGGTGATAAAAACATGAGATGAAAAGAACCTTTTGATTGTGGCAAAAGATACAGACGCCAACTTTCTCACAGAGGCGGCGAAAAATGTGTTGCAAAAAATTGAAGCATTGTTGTGTTTTTAGTTTGTAAACACCTTTGGTAGAAATGAAATAAAGAAAAGCTGCATCAGGCTACAGAACCCGAGCATCAAACTTGTAAACAAAATTTGAAGTAGATCCGAATAAGAATCTTGACTCCCAATCTTTCTCAAAAATTCCCATCTAAAAAGTAAAAAGCTCTCTAAAAAATTGAGAACATCTAGCAGACAAATAGGCTCTTCAAATTCAATCAGTTCAAAAGAATAAAAATAACAAATAACTATTAACAAACCACTACTAAATGCTCAACACTTTAGAAGAACATTCTTGCATAGACACTTTCAGAAGCTACACAGGTACTCATCAGTAAATTCAACTAATCTACTTTTACAATAATTTACAGAATTACAAAGAACAGTTAGTTCCACATCCCTTGATAAATTACTGGTGTACAAAACTGCAAGAAACATTTTTGATCTTCAAAGCCACATACATTAGGGCAGAAAAAGGAAAAAGAGATTATAATAGCACACTCAAGAGAGATCAGCTGCCGCATCGTCACTGTTGGCCTTTTCTTCCACAGCACTACTGGATTCTCCAATCTTCTCCTGTTGTGAATTATAGTTCTTTTTACCTGTTTTGTATGAATATTTGGGAAAAGCAGCTGATAGGGCTGATTTAATGGTTATTTCGGGTTCTTTCTTCTTACGTTTGTTTGCATCCTCTTCTTTCTCATCTTCTTTTCCTTCACTCACCCGAAAAGGTTCAGCATTGTTCTGTGTAGAGGTTTCTGGAATGGGAAGATGCTTGGGAACTACACGCTTGAATGGTTCATGAAAAGTATCATATAAGCGTTTTACCTGAAAAGGTAATTTGCACAAAGATCAAACAACAGTTCCCTAACAAAGCCTCATAGACTACCAACTGAATGACATTGGCCTCAGTTTGGCAACACTAGTAAGTCAACTTATTTAACTTACTTGCTTAAGAAAGAGGAGAAGAAAAAAAAAAAGAAAAAAAAGGAGTTAACTAACGGTGATTGGTTGCAATTTTAATTATAACTTACTTATTCGGCTTTTTAAGCTTATTTGACAAAAAAATTTGAAATTTTCTTAAGCTAGAATTAGTACCTTTTTTCAGCTTATTTGAAACATTTAATTGCACATGTAAGAGAGTCCCATCTTTTTCTTCTTAGTTATAGCTTTAGAGGACGTAATAAATATTTTTGCACAACAAAAACACACTGTGACAGCTTATTTAACCAAACAGGTCCAACTTTTTCACAGATTATCAAAAGCTGTATCATATAGATTTACAATTTATTTTAAGCTTTTTGTATGATAATAATCTTAAAAACTATAATCATATAAGTTAGCTTATAAGTTATAGCAAACAGGCCGAGAATGAGGTGGACAACCAAACAATTTTATTATACATCGTTTGGCATATTTCAGTTCAAACTTCAAATACCTTAAAATTCATTATTTATTTTACAGGTAAGAACCAGTTTTACAGTCATCAAAACATCTCATCCAGAGAAGTCATGAGGATCCATCCCAAGGTTCCAGTAAGCAAAACCAAAATTCACTTTGTTGAATATGTAACAAGCATGCCCATAAGTTTTCAGAAATGCATGGTGCTTGAAAAATGTACATAATAAAATAGAGCAAATAAACAAAGTTAATGGAATCTAACCTTGCGCTCTCCTATTCCAGGGCACCGAGCTAGATCTTCCATGGATGCATCCATGATATGAGAAAGAGACTGAATAGGAAAAAATTAATTAATCCCAAAGAAAAGAATAAGATGTATAATACAAGTAACAGCATATATAAGCATACCCCGAATGTAGAACCAAGGGTGACAACATCAGTTTTGTTAACATGTCGAACTGTCGTCAGAGCATGCGTTAGCTACAAGCAAAGAGATTATCCCAACTCAGTCAATTCAAATAGTTGTTAATGTAAAAGATAAATAAATAAATAAATACTTGACTTCATGTTTTACAAAAAAATTAAGATTGAGGTCCCTGCATAGGCTGTAAAACTTCTTAACAATAAAACTTGATCACAAGACCAAAGATCATGAGAAAGATACCCGTGATAAATAGTCCGTATCCATTTGGCCTTGGATAATGTCCGCAGGCTTGTTTTCATAAACTTTAAGAGTCTCCAAGTACCGACCACACTCCTCCAAGCTAGAACCACAAAAACAAATTAGTTTGTCGCACGTGTTGAAACCATTTCAAAACAGAGTTCACCAAGTAATTATCTTTACAGAGATATCTACATTACAAAAAAATTGCAAATATATTTATTGTTTCAAGAGGAATGCTAAAGACCCACAATTCACCAACAATGACACGGGATAGGAGTAGGGCTCACATGCTTGAGTTTATGACAAATCAAAAAGTTGACATCTAACCTGCTATGTCATTGTGGGTAAATTAGGGAAGCTTTTTTAGGGGTGTCGATCTTTTTCCTTAATTTCATCCTTACATACACTCATGTAACAAATACCATATTTTGCATAAACCCATGTGCACTAGAACAAAAATACCTCCAGCCACATAAAAGGGTGCAATCATGAAGCAAAGCTGTTTTTGTAACTTCAAGTAAAGGTTTCACTACATCCTCCTGGAAACAATGACAACATGAGCAATCAAACCCCTCATATTACATGAAAAACAAAACTGCATAGAGTAATTATCTGCAAGAAATGCAGATTCTGTGAAATTCATATCAAATAGTTAAACCAAATGCCACCAAGAGTCATGAAAAAGTCGTAATTTGGTGTAGAAGAAGCTTACAACATCAACATGGCACAAAACAATGCGAAGCTTAAAGTTCTTCTGCAATTCCCTTATGCGATAATACAGGTAGTCTGGATGAAGAAGATGATACCGAAGGCTGCATCAAAGAGTGATCTTAATCAAAAAATAAGAAAGTGAATGGTTCAACAAGCTCCTGAAACAATTGTCATAATTTACGAAATATGTACCCCTATAAAAACTAGTTATAGAATGGATAAAAAAAATTGTTGTAGAACCAAATATTAATGAAAACCAACCCTACCCTACCTTGTAACTATAGCAAAGAAGAAAAAGACATATAATGTTTCTTCTAAGTGAGAGTGATAGAAGATGAAATTAAAACCTCAAATAAAGAGCACATGTACTCTGCCCCAACAAGTAGTCACAAACAACATCTGCGAAAGCCCACCTCACATTCCTTATATGTTTTAGCAATGGATTTCCCTTCTGCATCAAAAGAAAGGAACATATGAGATTACACGGGCTAATAGATGCCACTTCACAATGTACTCAGGTAATTGCGGTTTTTTCCCCAAAGGACAGAAGTAATCCTAGATACCGAGAGCAATTGTTTAGTTTGTGGGTGTGTCTCTAATTGCTGAATCCTCAAGTCCAAAGTATTTGGACATTGATAAATAGTTGGACATCCCAAATTTTCTTCAATATCCCAAATATATTCTACTAAACTTGAAATTTGTTCTTCCACTTTACTATGGATACCAGTAGTTCTTTTTTTTAGACACTTGATGAGTACATCATTGTAAGAAGTAGCAACCAACCTATGAATTTGAATAGGAAATGCACTGTGTGTGTATATATACAAGTACAACATACCTGTCTATGGCTAACAAGAATGGCATTGCGATTGTGAGCAGTCTGCGATTGGCATGACGACGAAACACCAGCAGACGAAGAAGAAGACGGAGCCTCCGATTGACCCAATTGCCTGACAAATCCAAAACCAAAATAAAAAACAATCAAGCCCTAGTTCCCCAATCTCAATATCAAAAAACACAAGACCCAGAATCCGAATCGAAGAGAATACCTCGAAGACGAAGCGGCGGCGGCGGAAGAGGCAGTGGTGGAGGAGGAGGGCGGCGGAGGGGGAGAGTAGAACTCGGAGTTTTTGATGAAATTGAAGGATTGAGAGAAGGAAGGTGAAGGAGTGAAGAGAGAGGATGGTGGGGCTTGAGATTGACAAGTGTCGATGACTTCTTGGTACGATGGTATCTTTATCACGAACCCTGTACTCTTCTCTCTTTCGACACTACCATCATCGTCTTCTTCGTTCTCCATTTCACTCTCTTCGTTTTTTCTGTAAAATTGTCGAATCCATTTAACGGAGATGAGTTGAGGAGGTGGGCCGGGTTTTTTAAGGACGTTATTTGGGGCCCGGTTTGTTCCGGTTAAAGGATAAAACGGATACCCGCCCGGCATAACCCAGATCCAATTGTTGTCCAACTCCTTCACCACCACCTTAAATTTTTAAAGGGAAAATTGATCTGAGATCCCTATCTAACTTTTAGTAATAGATTAAGTCCACAATATGTTCTTTAGTAGTCTAAGGTCCCTCACCCCCGTACCCTTATATTACACCTACACTCTCATAGCCAGAGAGGATAACCAAGTCAGGAATGTTGAGTCTGCGTGCTTGGAAGAAGTCAATCAAAGTAGTGACATTTTCGGAACCACCAGAACCACCGTCTACCACTGCCACCGCCGCCTATGAATCGAGGTCGAAGCTCAAAAAAGTACTTTCAGATATCTAACTACCATTCTTCAAGAGGATGAGGCTGGCCAATTGGATTGAATTGAAGATCCTTTTTTGACTCGCCGGACCAGCAGTGATGGTGTATTTGATCAACAACACCATGTCGATGTCGACCCGCATCTTCTCCGGCAACCTTGAGTTCGCCAACCAAGCAACCTTTCTAGTAAGTTACTTTCACTTCGCTGCGGAAGTAACCACAAAAAGAACCCGAGATAAATGGGTCCTATACTTTCTTTTTGGTTCTTAGTAACACTTCCAATCTGTCTCTCCATTTTCTATCCTTCCAAACATGTTAGTACATAGATTCTTTTCTCACTAACTGTGTGTGCATGCGCAATCATCTTCTCCAACGTAGAGTAAGAGATTCAGCGCTATGGAACTCATCAGGCATATGTAAGTCCACGATGCTCTGACATTTGGGCATAGATAATGAAGTGTGTTTTTCAAAGTGGGTACTGCATAAGATTTTCTAGCAAAGAAAAAATTTTCTTGTGATGAATGCCAATTCATTTCTTTTTACTTAGGATTGGTCTAGAGAAATTCTATGGTTTGAACTGAAATTTCTCTGGGGTGATCCAGAGAAAATTTATGGTTTGGATTGACCAAACAGATATGTATGGTCACTGAGATATGTATATAAGAACCAGTTTGAACCTCGTGCATCTGTAATTCTCAATAAATTTGTTAGTCATGAGAGGAAGAAGGGTGTTTGAGATCAATCCTCAACACCCAATCCAGAGAATTTCTATGGTTTCAATCCAGAGAATTTCTCTGATCTGTCTGGTTTAGAGAGAATTTCTCTGGTTTTGGACCAAAGAAATTTGTGGGTTTGTTAATAAAGACTGTATTGTTGGCTTACATATTACACAAAGTCAAAGAAATTCTTTGTGAATAGAGCCAGAGAAATTTGTGAAGTCAGAGAAATTTCCTAGATCAATGTACAATAACCAAGGTTTGTTCATAAAAATACAACTCTGCTGCAAATAGAGAGAATTTCTCTAATCTGTCTGGTTTGGAGAGACCAGAGAAATTTATGGGTTTGTTAGTAAAGATTGTATTGTTGGCTTATATATTACACAAAGTCAGAGAAATTGACATTGTGCAAAGGATTGGGACATAAACTTAAGACAATGGGAAAAAACTGTAAGAGAGAAAGACTACTAATGAATACCAAACAAAATCATGGGCATTTTGTATGCCAAAGTAGCAGCAGATCTGGAAATTTTCTTAATGATATAGTAAAGAGAACAAAGTACTACCTAATGTCCATAAAAGCATGTGATTGCATATGGTCAGGACAGTCAGTTAATGCATTAGAGAAATTCTAAGAAGGATTGGGCCAGACAAATTCTGAGAAGAATTGGACCAGAGAAATTCAAAATTTCTCTAGATTCAGCCAATGCATTAGAGAAATGCTGAGAAATTTTAAGAAGAATTGGGCCAAAGAAATTTTGAGAATAATTGGACCACAGAAATTCTGAGAAATTCAGAATTTCTCTAGACTTTCCAGAGAAATTTGGTCCAGAAAAATTTAAATTTCTCTAGGCCAGAATTTCTCTGGACCAATTTTCTTTAGACTGAAATTTCTCTAGATCAAGATTTAGTGACCTTAGACATCATTTAAGTGTTGACTGAGTTGTGTATTGAACTTTCAACTTTCTCAAGTGTCCTATCTTTGGAAGGAACCAAGGAGTTTTTTCAAATTTGATTAGACAAAGTGCTACTAATAATGAATTTTGCAGTGATTAATATTCTATAGAGCTTTGGATGGACCTGGAGCCCTTTGCTTGTTGCAAAGGTGAAAACTTGGGGCTGTCAACATAAAAGCGTGGCTTCAGAATTTAGGGAACAATATTTGATATGGGCCTTTAAGAAACTTGCTACTTTGTAATTATGGAAGTGGTAACTAATGATTAGGAGATTTGATATGAATCTGCCAGTCATTTCTTTATTATTATTATTTTTCTTTGTTGACCTGTAAACTGCATTGAATGATCTTATATATCGAATGAATATGCCATTTGTTGTATATTGAAAACTGGTAGGTTATTAGTATTTTGTTTCAGTTAAATAATTGGGATCAATTAAGTATTTTGTTTCATTTGAAGTTGAAACCAGAGAAATTCTCTGGTTTTTGAACTGAATTTTCTCTGGGTTAAAACCAGAGAAATTCTCTGGTTTTTGAACTAAATTTTCTCTGGGTTGGTCCAAAGAAATTCTTCCCAGAATTTCTCTGGACCAATTTTCTCTATAACGTGAATTTTCTCTGGGACTGAAATTTCTCTGGATTGATGTTGAGGGACCTTAGACATCATGAAAATATTTGATATCCTTTATACTATAAAATCATAATATCAGAGACCTTAAAAAAAATACTCCATTTTTGAATTCATCTTGACTAGATGATCTAAACAAAATTTAAAACTTTATTAAAGTAAAAAATTAGGTAACTTTGGAGTTTGCATAAAAATTAACTTTTTTTAGCTAATTTTTAGATATTTAAAAAAAAAATCAAGATAATCTAATTAAGATAGGATTAAAAAATAACGAAATTTAAAAATTACTAAGTATAAAAATAAGTTGAACTTATCTATAAATAAAAAAAATCCAACTCGGGGGAATTGTAAAAAAACTTGTTTTGTGCAATCTGATCTGTTGCCTCGAGAGAATCGAAGACATTTCGTCCTCTCAAACAATCTCATTAGGTCAGACAAACCCGGCCCACCTTAGAGTATCTCTATTGGTGCTCTCAATGAATTCATATTAGCTCAGACATTAGGCAGTTAGTTAATAAACATATTTTTGTTTTGCCTTCGATGGGTTTGCCAAAATGTTGTTAGCTAGTGCAGAAGGTAAAGATTGCTAACTCGTTTGTTATATGTGGCGAGCATCCTAATGAACAAAGTGAGAGAGTGAATGGAGAGAGAGAGAGAGAGAGAGAGAGAGAGAGAGAATATGGAGTGGGTGGTTTGTTGCTAGAAGACTTTTGGCACAAAGAGATACAGCAAGATGAGAGATTGAGAGAGTGGATAGCAGTAAAACTTTCTTTTGATTTTTTTATTCTCTTTTATATATCTATTTTGACACAAATTTTAGCTTATACCATTAGATGATCTATATTTAATTTTTAAATTAATAAATTTTTAATACATATAAATAGGTCTCACTTTTAATACTTTTGATTGTATAAGACATTTTTTTGATTCCACCATCGAAAATGCTCTTACACCAGTAATTACAATCGTCTATAGACTTGTTTATTGTTTTCCTTACTTTTAACTCCAAAGGAAGCATTGGAGGGTTAAAATGAATTATTAATTGGTCAATGTTGTATTGTTTTTTTTTTAAGGGACGGTCAGAGTCTTCTATCTGAGAGTACCTCTTCCATTTATAAAGAGGTGGACATGTCTAGTTTAACTAGGTAGGTCGGCTACAAAGTTCAATTTGATGATCCATTCCTTCAATATTTAGATTTTCACTTCAAAATTATTCATGTAAAAGTTAAATTAAGCCCGTCCATGTATTCACATGACTTGCCGTTCAATTTTCTAAAAATAAATATGACAAATTTGTACAATTATAATTGAGATATCAAAATAATTTTTTCATAAATAATACATGCGCATAAACTTATAAATAAATAAATCAAATCATTTTTTTTTTGATTCATAAATAAATAAATCAAATCATTGAAAAAGCCTATTGTGAGATCACTAGACAATTCAATCTGTATGAGGGGACACGAAACAAATCGGCTCTCCTAAGCAAATTAGATTATTGAAAAATGCAAAAAAAAAAAAAGTAATGTTGTAATGACACTATGGTGTAATTGATTCAATTTTTTATTTTATATTTTTTATATAATACTATAACTCTAATTTTTTTATGGGACTTAAACCTTAGTTTGGTTTGGTAACTATAACTCTAAATTTTTATTTGGTATTTCTAGTGTAAACAATTAAAATATAAACCAACAAGACTAGATTTTATCTTTTTAAATTTTTTGTAATAATTTTTTAGATTTTCGTGTATTTTTTTTTCCTAAGTGCTTTATTTCCTTCACTGAATGAAAAAATAAAAACCAAATTACATAAGTTAAAAAAAAAAAAAAAAAAAAAAATTCGCATTCGGGGCCCAACGCACCCTCACTTATGCAAGTGCCGAAAAGAAAATGCATTTTTTCTTATTTATTTTAAAATAAATTTCTTGATTTTCCAAATTTCTGATAAAATACAAAAATAAATAGATAAATAATAGAAAACTAAAATTTCTAGAAGACCAAATAAATAATGACACAGGCAAAGACAACGACAACAACAAAGACAAATCCTTAATTATGATATGTTTGTCTTTGAATGTTTGTTTATCCTAAGATTTAAAAAATAAAAATAAACAAGATCATATCCATAAATCCGAATAAATAATTACATCTAATTTACAAACATTTGGAAACAAATATACAAAATTGTGTCCACATCCATCCCCCAAAAAAATTTTAAAAAATTATTATAATGTGATAGGCTATTAGGTTAGTCAAGCTGGGCCATGCTTTGAATTGGTCCACCAATTGTGTTCCAATGGTGGGCCACCAAGGCCTCCAATAGTCAAGCCTTTCATTCTCCAAATTAATAATAACACGTGCAGACAAAATTGACCGTTAAATCTGAGGCCGGTCCGAACCAGTAGATACCAGACCGGTCTCGTCACCCGCCTTCGGTTCCATACACTTGAACGACGGCAACTTCATCGCCGCCCTCCCTCTCGGCGTCGTCGCCGTAGAAGACGTCGAACCCTCGCCGTCCCCGCCGCCTTGACCTTCGGAGACTTCAATGAGGACGTGTCGAGTGAAGAACGGTGGCGCCATTGAGAAAACCCACCGGTCCGACATAATAGTTCGGTCCAACCGCCTGTATGACCTCCTTCCCCTACTACTTCCGTCTCCGATTCCCCTACTACTACCCTCTCCGATTCCGGCTCGGTACCCCCTCCTCGAACTACCTTCTCCGGGCAACACCAATAAGCTCGTAGTCCGGTTCAGCGCCGCTATCACCTTTTTCCTCACATCTTCCGGTAACCGGAGAGTGAACCGGTCTGTGTTTTCCCCCGGCTGGACAAGGGTGCCCGGCGAATGCGACTGGGGAACCTCCCGAATAGTCTGGACCGGACCGACCCAGATCTCGGAGGACGGTTCTGGTTAAAGCTCTGGTTCTGGTCCGGTCCAGCACCTGTAGGAGGAGGAGGTGGAGGAGGAAAGAGTCTTCTTCCGGATCTTCAACGACCCGGATCGAAACTTCATCGGCTGGGTTGGGGGTTCTGGGTTTCCTCCGAATCGTCGATCTGGAGATTGAAATCTGGAATTTGCAGAGTCTCACCGGGTTGAGGAACGAGATCGGTTCGGCAAACCGGACAAGTCACATGAGCATTGAGCCAAGCATCGATGCATTCGGGGTGAAACACATGGTCGCATTTGGGGAATTC